ACATTCTACAAACTCGGTTGGCCAGCCAGCCCTCGAGACGCCATCACGATAGACCAGGTGCTGCGTGATTCCAACTCCCTGATCTTTGTCTCCACCAGCCTGCCCCGATCCGCCGACGCCCCCGCTTACCTTCGACCATCGCCTCCTCACGTCCGGTCGCACATCCACTTCTACGCTATATGCGTTCAGCGCAGCGTCGACGCTGGTAGTGGCAGCGGCAGCGGCAGTCCGCTCAACATCACGCTGTACTGGAGCTGGGATTTGCGAGGAGCATGGTTGGGCATGCCAGCTGGAGGTCTGGCCGCACAGCTCCCCTCCATCCTCCACAGCTTCGCATCATTCGCTCGAGATGAAGCTCCGAGGCGAGTTCCCACACTGTCGCACTACGGCAGCGACGTTCAACTGCTTCAACACTCTTTTCAGACCGATCGAGATACGCTGCTGGACGAGTATCAAGTCTTGCCAGCTGCTGGTGCGCACGAAGAAGCCGGCAGCAACACCACAACACTCACCTGGCTCTTGCCTAGATCCGAGATTTGGGATGTCCGGCTGTCTACGCGGGCCTTTGCATCTGCTCCTGATCAGTGGACTGTGGAAGCGCGAGCGCACGCGCACGCGCACGCGCACGCAGATGGAGATGCTGAGCGTATCGCCCTCCTCATCCACCACGCGCCTCTCACCGACGTTCAACAAAGCGTTCGCGCTACTTTTACCGCTCAGCGAATCCTCACTACGTCTACTGGCCCCACCGACGGGGCCAAGCTGCGCATCAATGGCGAGCCAATCGAGGTCCATCGAGATGATGCTACGCCGCCAGAATCTCGCGTCGACAATGCGGAACTTGTCAAGAGCATCCTGCCGCCGAGCGCCGCTTGGCTTTCATCTCCTTTGCAAGCGCACATCGACGACGCTGCCAGCGTGTCTGGACTCAGCATCAGCACGCAAAGCTCAGCAACAGACTTGCCTGCGCGATCCCTCACGCCCGCGCCACGACCTCCTCTGGACCGCTTGGGTGCCATTTCCTCGCTCGTGCGGCGCAACTACATCTACTTCACCTCGCTCTTGCAGGAACCTGAGGCCAAGTGGAAGCACGTGTCGGATACGCGCGGCGTGACCGTCACTCAGCTCGACAGCATCGATCCAACGCTGGTCGTCTACCGCGCAGAAGCGACATTCGTGGGAGTGGGCGTGTGGGACCTTTTCAGCACCATCACCACTCCCGGAGCGCACATGTTTTGGGACAAAGGCGTGGAAGAAGCGGCACTGGTGGACGATGCTGGGGATGCTACGCGGCTGTGGTGGACCAAACGCAAAGCTGCGTGGCCCGTGGCGCCCCGGGATAGCGTCACGGTAGAGACCTGCTACAAGGGTCCATCGGCGCATCACGTCTTTAGCTTTTCGACGGATGATCGAGCACTCTTTCCCAAACTACCTGCTCCCGCTACACCCACCACGATTCGCACGCAAGTGGATCTGCGCGGATGGTCCATCGAGAGCCTAAACCCGACCACCGTGCACGTCTCTCTCATCGAGCAGTCCGATCCGGGCGGGTGGACGAGCAAAAGTGCAACGCCTGCTGCAATGTCTGCCGCCGTGTCTGGCGTCGGGGATTATGCCATCAAGAATGGCGCGCCTCCGACGGCTACGCGCGTGCTGGGAGCGCACGTTCGCACATCTCGCTACGAGCACGACAAGTCGACGTATCGATTGGAATATGGGCTTGCGGAAGGCCAGCAGCAGCACGTAGAGTGCGAGTTGCGATGTGATGCGGATGGATGGTGCTGCGCTCTGGACCTCGTCGTGGATCCGCCACCCATCAGCGTGAGCTGCTTGCGACGATGGAGAGGCACGCCGAGCGGTGCGAGCGGTTTATGGCTCACCATCGAGCACGTAGCTGCTTCACTCGAAGACACTGTGGCGCGCATCACGGTACGCAAGCTCAAGCAAAAGGAGACCAATAAGAGAGAAGTGGTGGTGCTGGTGAATGGGGCCCGCATGCGCGTCGATGTAGAAGAGGTTGCGAAAGGTGCGGGTGCAGGTGCGGATACGACGCATGCGAAACGATCCAAGCCGAGGAGGGTGCCCCTGGATCTGCCATCCCAGACGCTTTCCCCCCGCAAAAAGGAGAGCGACGCGACGACATCCGCGACGCCGGCGACGGAGGAGCCGCCGCCGACGGCTGATGCGCGCTACGCCTCGCGATCGCCCATGGGTGGCGCTCTGGACGTGCTGTACCTCTTGCGGCGCATCGCAGCCGAGAGGTCTCTTGATCCATCCGCGCCCTCGCCCGGATGGTCTCTGGTTGGCGCGCCTCGCAACGGTCTCTTCGTGAGGCGCAAGATGATGTCCACCTTTAGCAGCACTATCGCGGTGCAGCGTGGAGACAAGGTGGTGGAGGGCTTCACCGCAGAAGACATTTGCGGAACGATTTCGCGCACGCGCAGAAAGTGGGACGAGACGATCGATGCGCGCGCTCGCGTGACCAAGAGCTTTGGCAGCGGAGCATTCTTGTCCACCTATACCACAAAAGGCGTGTTCCCCTTCAAAGGAAGGTCGTTCGATGTCGCCACCCTGATCGCCAGCGACGAATGCAACGAGTCTCGCGCAGCTTCTCCATCCGCCACGAACCGCCCTAGCGTGCTGTTCTGCGCGTCCGCCAGCTACGATTCGCGTCACGACGGGTTGGATCCGAGCAAGGTCAACCCGCTCGGCTTACCCACTGGTCGTGTGCTCATCGATGGCTGGATTTTGGAAACGCTAGATCCATACAGCGCGACGCACAATCATCCTATCCCGTCTACGCGCTGCACGCACGTCGTAGCTGTGGATTACAAGGGCAATGTTCCGATAGCTGTCAATACGCACTGGAACGCCAATCTGCCTCGCGCCGTGCTCAACATCGAAGACATGCTCAAGCGGTGTGGACCTGCTCACGTGTTGCGCAGTCCGGCACCGGCTGTACACGTGCGTGGAGACGAAATGGACGAGAATAGAGGGCTAGTGTGGACGCTTAAAAATTCATCGGCGCCAATCGCGACCCTGCTCGAGTACGCTTTCGATGCGGACACGCGCCAGGCTGATGTGCTCATCCACATTCCACCACGCGAGGTGCGAGATCCCGACTCGACTCCAACGGGCGCGAAAGATCCAGACGATTTGCCTTTTCCTCGAGTGCAACCCGAGTCGAGTCACGGGCACGCTCAGCTCCCGTCTAATCCGCCATCACGAGCGGCGTCTCGAGCGACGAGTCTGATCTCTCTGCGCGGATCTAGACCGTCGACGATTCGATCTCAGCCGCGCGATACAACTCTAGTGGACGCCGTCATCGAGCTGAGGCATTACGCTTCGGTCAAAGGGTATGACGTGCACGTCTCGTCGGCATTGAGCGCAGGAACCGCACCGCTAGGATTATCGGCATTGCCGCCTGACGTCAAGACGCGCGACGTGCCCTGCACTGTTCAAGCATTCGATCTACCCCCGTCTGCCGCTCTGGCCGCTACACTGGATCCGGGATCGCGTCCGCAGCAACACCTTTTGCGCGTGTCTATCCCTGACTCGGTCTTTGCGCATGGATCTGCAACGGACCTGCCGCAGTGGTACACTGACCTCGGCCAACGCGGAGCGCTCGTCAGGCTGCTCATTGCACCTCGCACGAGCGACAATGCGCCTGCAGATGCTGCTGAGGACGTCGAGGACGAAGATGCGAGCCCCGTTCGGCCGTTCTATGACCAACGTCGTTTGGACGTCACACACGTCAATGCCACTTCTGCGATGCTTCAGCGCGAGAGTTCGGGTACGGTGGATGAGAATCTCCCCACGCTCGAGAGGTAAGGAGGTGTGCTTGAGTACGTGCGCGACATACGGTTCAGCTCACGCACGCTCTTTTGCCCCACAATGCAGACTGCCTGCATCCGCTGGCGCGACTTCCCACGAGAATGACGCGCCGGCTCCTCTGCGCATTCCGAAAGCGGTGCGTCTTGATCTCTTGCCGGATCTTGGACCTGCAAAAGTCGTCTTGGACAACGAGCCTTCCACGGACTCCAAAGTCTCCAAAAAGTCCGCGACTTCTCCACCGTCCACACCGCGCAAAGACGATGTGCGCGCTGCGGATGCATCTCCGATCAAGGTGAGTTTCCATACACGCGATCGTGAGCGCACAACACGCTCACGTGCGCTCGCTTTCGCCAGGAGTACGAGGCTGGGTCGACGAGCGCAGCGCTCATGAACGTGCTCAACACTTACCCACTCTCGCGTTTGGGCGCGTCGACCGCACTTTCTGCTGCGACTGCGGATGGCGGCATTTTCACAACGAAGCGCGCAACGATGACGACGAGGGACGACAAGGATGGCAAGGTAGTCGAGTCGAGCGACGCTGCACAGGCGGCTGCTAATTCTAAGGCGGCCGATAACATCGTCCCTGGTGCCATGTCGGCCGTCTCGGAGCCAGCTCGTCAAACTGCAGCTGCGGCGGTCAGAGCGTTGGGCGGCAAGCATTTCAGTCTAGCCACGCTGATCCTAGCTAGCCTGGTCGCCTTTCTCCTTGGAAGTCTCTTTCGAGGGCTGTTGGAACCGTCGGATTTCTTGCTCGCTCCCGTCTCCTTGCCCGACGCTGCCTCGGGCTCGACTCGCGATGCCGCCACGGAGGTCCGACGTTTGCTCGACGGTCTGCCCGTCTCATCGACTGCGCCGCATGCCGACCAGGTCGCGAGGAGAGAATTGCGCAGACTTGTAGAGCTCAAAGGTCTCGTTGCGGGCTGGAATGTGGTACTGGCTGTAGTCAGGAGATAGTGACGACGAGGTGCGCGGCAGACTACACTCTTTTACGCAGTCAATTGATACCCCTCCTTCTAAAGCATGCAGACAGACGGACAGAAGTGTTGCGCGAGAGGCGTGCTCTTGCATTTGGTTTGTATTGAGCCGCGCCCTGGCTCGTCCTGGGCGCGCAATTGCCGGCAAAGTCGTGCGAAGATACGAGCCACTCGACGCCCAGTCCACGGGTATGGGCGCCGCACAATGGGGCTCGGTGCACCTTGCTCAATGTTGGTGTTTCTCGCATCTCATGGTGCGAGAACAGGACGCTATACTATGGAATGACTTACCGGTACTGCGCACGATGCCTTGTTCGCGCAGACTGCTCCGCCTTTGGAATACAGCGGTAAGGAATTGGTCACCGAGCGCTTCAAGGAACCCCCTATGCCAGAGGGCGTCTTCTAACAATGGAGGCTCTGACCATGCTGCGCTCGAAGCCCGCGCAACACGCTCGCCATGGGAACTGAGTGCTCGTCTGTGTGCTGATCGTACCTTCGTACTGAGCAGATCCTCGAGCTTGCAAAGTTATAAAGCACGACATCGACGCTCCATTTGCTTGCCCCTTTGACATTTCAGAAAATCGACTTGGCAAGCATAGGCAATCATAACACGTGAAAGCATCTCAACACGCACATCATGAAGTCGACAATCTTCATCGCACTCATCCTAGGAGCTGTCGCGCTAATCGCAACGCAAACAGCTGCCGTTCCAAACAAGTCGGACACTGACATCGGCGGCGCTACGCTCGACCGACGCTAGCTAGCCTGCTCAGCCGCTCCCCCAGTCAGTGAGTACGCGCAACTTTTCTCGAATGAAACGGCGCTCGAGCTCTGTCCTCGCACAGAAGGTGATATTGCAGAGGCGGCTCAAAGTAGAAGGAAAGATCCAAATCAAGGGGCAATTTACCACATCGCTGTTCACTACCTTGACGAGCGCCGCAGATTTGTATCGAATACCCTTTTCCTGATATGTGTTGCGTGGCGCAAGCTATCACGAATGCATGGTGTTGCGTGCACAATTTTCGTGTGGTCTCATATGCTCATCGCTTAGATCGGTCCTTCAAAGCGGTGCAGCGCAGGAGTATGTTCAAACTGCTTTCAGTCACGATTCAAACCCGGCGCGCACTTGGCGCAGATTTGTCAAGGAAGGAAGGGTCGGGTCGGGCAATTGGAAAAGGGACCATCAAGGCCGCGTGTTGACACGACTGACCACTAGAGGGCATCCGCGGACAAGCACTTTGCAGAGACACTTTCCGCGGACAGCAGATGCGATTGAGTGCGCCTATCCGCAAAAGACGGGACGAGTCGATGAGCAATCACGAATACCAGCGCGAGCGATGCGTGGCTGCGCATCGCACTCCACCCTTCCTTTTGGTCCAAATTTCCAGCCATTGCTCGCCTTTAAAGCCAATGGTTCAATTCATCCCGCTTCGCCCCTACCTCGCACGCATACACCTCTCTGGACGACCCCAGCCAATCAAAGTCGAGATTTCGAAGATGAAGGCGATTCCCTCCAAAGTCGTGACAGTAACGATGCTCGTTGCGATGATTACTACCATTCCAGCATCTGCTGCTCCTCCCGGACAAGTCTTTGGCGCTACGCCGGGTGACAGCATCGCGACGCTTCTGGCTCGACAACATAGCTTGTCTCCTTGCCACGAGACTGTGCAGAGTGGGTCTTGCGCAGGCCAGGGCGCGGCATTCTTTGTAGAAGATGCCTGCACT